CTGACACCCCGTCTGACCTCAGTTAACGCCAGTCTCGAGAACTCTCCAGACATCCCTTCAGAATCGGTTTGAACATTCCTCGAGTAATACAGTGGACCCTGAAAGAATTAACTTCTAATTTAGTTTGAACACCCATGGGTTATAAAAATATTGAAAGTGTTGGGATTGGGGAAGTCAGAGCTGGGAGGTCAGTCTCAAAGAGTGATTTTGATGGAAGCATGGGGTGTCAGGTTAATGTAGGTGATGTCTGGAGAGTTCTCGAGACTGGAGTTAACCGAGGTCAGACGGGGTGTCAGGTTAAGTCACAATGTGAGGAAGCCAGTCAGAGAAAAAATGATTGTTTGGAAATTGCGTCCAGTTCCAGGGTGGTACAAGTGCTTAGGTGAGAGTGAGAAGTAGGAAGGAACAATTTTTATACAATTCTTTTTCAAAATCATTCGCAGTTTGTAAGTGTCACTGGCTAAAGGGGTTTTTTTTCAGGGAGGATATAGATGGTGTTATGCCTGTCACAGCAGAATCTGTAATTTGGGGTCACTGTTTCAACATCAGTTAAGGCAGAGATAATGGCTTTTGTGGTAGTGTCCCTGCCTGTAAGCCTGGAGGTCCAAGTTCAAGTCCAACCTGCTTCAGAGGTGTACAGATCTGAACAAGTTGTTACGGAAAATATCTTAAAACAGACATGAGGTGAAATTTTTTTCCATCCAAGGGTCTTTTGGAACTTTCCTTTGGAAAGGTGATGGAAGCAGAGCTTTTAAATATTTTTAAGGAGGTGTTAGATATTTGGATAGATTCTTGTTAAGCAAGGGGGTGAAAGGCTGTATGAGGGAGGAGCTAATGTGGATTTGTGTTTACAATCGAATCAGCCATGATCTTATTGAATGGTGGATCGATGGGCTGCGTGGCCTTGTTTGTGATGTTCACATGAAGTCCCCTGGGATATGACCAGCTAAGTGTGCCAACTGTAGGTCTGGCCTGGCAGCTGGGTGCAAAGGGCAGAGATGTACTCGTTAATGTTATGGCACCAATATTTATCACTCAAACCGATTTCACCAAAACTGATTCATATAAAACAGGGAACTGCAGATGCTGGAAATCCAAAGCAAAGTTAAAGAATTGCTGGAGAAACTCAACAGGTCTGGCAGCATTTGTGGAGAGAGAAACAGAGTTGACGTTTCAGAACTGATCTGCAGAATGGTCGTTGGACTCAAAATGTTAACTACGTTTTCTCTCCACAAATGCTGCCCAGATCTGCTGGGTTTCTCCAGCAATTGTTGTGTTTGCACCAAAATGAGTTACCTGGTCATTACCATATTACTGTGCGCAAATTGGCTGCTGTGCTTCCTCCACAACAAGAGTGACCCCACCTTATTAATTTTGGAATGTTTTGGGATGACTTGGGGCTGGGAAAGATGCTACAGAAATGAATAGGTATCAATGAATACTCACATCGGCAAGTGGGTTCTTAAACTCCTGAGGTGAGAGTGCTTGTGTCTTAGTTTATTCAGGGGATGCGGCCGTCACTAGTATTAAATAAAGTATTTAATAAAGTGCTGTATTAAATTTGCAAATCTTTCTTCATGAGTGTTGCTTGATTGAAGTAATTAGACATAACGAAGCATTTAGCAAATGTTTATTTTAGTGTCATACTGAACTGTTGCGTAGGCACAAGTTAATTCTTCCAGTATCTTCACATTCAGTGACTGGGGACCTGGAGGTGTAGCGATAGCACATTATTGAACAGGAGGGGTCCACTAATCAACCTGATTACCCTGGTGTGCAAAGGGTGACCTCAGCAGCCCTTCTCCCTCCCCCGACACTACCCCACCTGAACAAGAGTGAACTGCGCACCCTCCTGGTCTGTAACATCTTGTTTAGTGTTGGTTGGAGCTCCCCACTCATTTGTACCATTCCTCTAAGCGATTATCTTTCCTTTCTCCCTCCTTGCACAGTTGGCCATGGGCAGAGTGAAGGCAAGCGCATGTACGTGTCCAGTTTCAGAGTCTACATCCGGGATTCCCTGCAACACTTTGACATGATAACAGACCGCTTCCCAAATCTAAAGGTCTTCATCTTTGCACATGCTCTGGTAAGTGAACAGAATAACAAACCATTCTGACTCAACAATCAGAAGTGCAATTTCAACATTTTGGGATTGCGTCATAGAAATCTGCAGCACAGAGAAAGGCCCATTGACCCATTGAGTCTAAGCTAGTCATGACTAGCTGACTATGCTCATCCCAATTTCTAGCACTTGGCCCAAAGCTTTGGCATTGCAAATCTAAATCCTTCTTCAATATTATGAGGGTTTCTGCCTCTGCCACCCTCGCAGGCAGTGAGTTTCACATTCCCTCTAAACTTCTTGCCCCTTACTTTAAAT